CCCCCCCCCCCCCCCCCCATCACGGGATATTCGCAACGTCACACCTGCAACTAGGGCTTGTGACAAGACACTTTTACTTTACCTGAAACGAGTATAATACTTGAAACTGTCAAGTAGTTGAGGGTTTGAAATAACTTTTTGTAACCAGTGGCGGCGCCAGGGAGGGGGGGGGCAAGGGTGGGCAAATGCCCGCCCAATATTATTTTTTGCCCCCCCCATTTTGCCCCCCCTCAAAAAAAATTATTAGTCACTAAGAGCGACTAAAGGCTACACTTTTTGTTCTTTCACCATACTGAATTCTTCTTCCAAATCATACACATCATCCCCTCGGCTGAATTTCCGATGAGGTCCATAACTAACTGCAGGAGTGCAGATCGAGTGCTGTGAATAATCTTCCCGATGTTCATCGTCCTGATGTTCATCAGATGGCTCATGACCCAAATCAAGATCAGATGAATCAGAGTCCTCATCACTACTTGAACTTATGGAGCTAAAAATAACAAAATATAGTGCTGTATAAATAATAGATAGTATATTACAAATAAAGAATAAAGATCCCTTTTCAGTTTGCTTCTGTTTATTAGGCTTCAATATAACTAGAATCAGGATTGGACCTTTAATTAACCATTCATTAATTTATAAATTTTTGCCAGGTTTGTAGTTTATCTATAGGGTTTTTGACATGGTTTGTGTGAAATTTGATGTCAGATAACTTCCCTGAGTGGTCAAAATTTCTAGAGAGGCAGCATGAAATCTTTTTTGTTCTCAGGCACAGTAGCAACAACAGACTAATCTTCCACTGCCCAGAGTCAAAATAACACATCCCACACATACTCCCACATTGCTTCAAACAGATAACATACGTATACTCTGAATAACTTTGCTTCTCTGCATTCAAATCTTCGAGAGCTGATTTGGTAAGATCATGTATGCTGTAAGGGACAATGATGTTTATGACTCAATTAGTTCCATTCTTGTAAAAGTATTTATGACCTGACATATTTTACCTGATATAACTTGCAGCATCTTCCAGACTGCCATCACTGACATCATCATCATCATCCGTGAACATGGACACATTTATTGCATTGGTTATAGTAGAACTAGATATAAATAATTTGAGAAACAACAAATATATTGTTGCTACGCACATTCACAATTCCATAATAAACTACAAATATTACTTTACAATCAGTACCTGTCAAGAAGGGTTGCATCAGACCGAGCAAAGCTTGTATTCGCATCAATTGTTGCAATGGTATTATCCTCGTCTTCATCTCCAATAACAGGGGATTCAGATGGAGAAGGAAGCTGCAGGCTTTCTCCAGTTTTTAACGGCGTGGATGTTTCTTGGCCTTAAAGAAATTGTAATCCATTGTAATCGGCCATGTTCAATGCATTACATCCATTCATTGAACTACCCATTTGACAATTCATCAACATTGATATAGCATTCTATTGCTTGTTAACTGTAGTAGTATATCATTTTGGGCTATTTATGTTTGTGGACGCATAGGGATTACCTTGATAAATATTTTGAATGGCTTGTTCTGTTATTTCTGTAGCACATTCGGTGATTGCTTCACTTTGCGTTCGTCGCTGTGAACGCTTTATTTCCGACCTAAAATAGTTAAACAGCACACATTTCATTACGTCTTACAAATTGAATCAAACTTAAACATACAAATTTCATTATCCGTACCTTCTTCTATACTCTAAAGATAACAGATGCGCGGCGAAGTCGCTATGACTACATTTGTCGTATCCCGCCTCGCTTTTTGAGCTTTTCCACGCTTCAAAAATGTTATTCAATAAATAGATGCTCTTGTGTTGACCTCCCCACGATTTTCTTCGATTTTCGCCTTCATATTTCCTTTTTCGTCCTGCATTTTCACGATGACCTCCTCGCACAGGTCCCTGCAAGGACGCCATCTTGAATAGTGAAATATGATAGTGAAATAGTTTGAAAACGTTGGCCCAACGATATCAAATTTCACCATGCGCAGAAAAGTTGCGCAAACGGTGACACTGCTCCTTTAATAAATATCAGCATTGTCAATTTGACAATAATTTCCGGGTTTTCCCCGAATAGCTAATTTTAATACGAAAGCGTACCACGTTTGATAATACCTCGCTGCATTGATCGAAATCTTTTTGAATTAAACCCACTTGTGATGTTCATGAACACAGAAACATCGCTTAACTACGATGATTTAAAAGCTTGTGTAAAGAAACGGAACAAGAGCGCATTTTACAAGTGACTGGAAGCTCTGACGTCTCAACTCCGCTATAATTGAAGCTAAACAAAAGAGCCAAATTGTATCAAATTTCAGAGGCTGTCGAGTCTTCAAATCGCAGTCAGTAACAAGTTTTATTGTGGATATGGGTACTTCAAACTTCCCTTTTTTTAACCATGTTAGTCAATGAATCCAGTTAGGTGCCACTTTTGAGAAATTAAAGTCGAATTTGATATGCGTACAAAGCCGTATTTACACCCGGTGCTTGTTATCGCTAAAATTTGCCATAATCTTTCTGTAAAAGTATCATAAAACAAGGCAAGTTTCAAAGTAGAATAATTTTCACGTTGGTGGATCAAAAAATCATAAAATTTGGTTGAATACTTTTAAAATTATATGTATTTGAATTCGGCTAATTTTTATTCCTGATTTAGGCAGAGGATTTTCTGCCCGACGGCGCGGGCCGAAAAGTCGCTGAAATTTTAAAAATTAATAAAATTTCAAAATTCCAAATAGTTTTTGTTTGTTCTTGGGGTAAATACATTTCATTGTGAAAGTAACGAAGAATTTCATTTTATGAGCCGAGAGTCGTTGGTCGGTTCTTAGAGAGACAGCCTCTTACAAACATGTGGCTGTGAAACTGTGAAACTTGTGATTTTGTGATAGATATTATACTGTGTTTTGTTGTGATTTATTTTGGGCGATACTTGGAGGCAATCCCCAACAAAGGATATTGCACTTGCCGATATTAAAAAATGTGCAAAGTTTAAAAAAACGTGTACATGCATTCTGCATAAAACAACAAGGCATGACTTTTTTGAAATCACAAAATATAAATTATGTTTGATATACTGATTACAACTCTGTCGATTAATGGTCAACTAAGCGTGGATTATACATGTAATATTGGCAAAGATATTTAGGTAATTACTGGTTATGTCTTCTTGGTATTAATTTGAAAAATGTTCGTCAAAATTCGTCCCGTACGAGTTAGTACTATCGTCGGATGTTTTCGCAAAATGCCCGTTCAAATTTCAGTTTTTATAGTGGTATGTTTGGAGTTTTGGCCCTGCTCATTTCACCCGTAGAGGGCTCATTATTTAAGTCATCTTTATTGTCATAAATGCTGCTAGATTGTGGAGAAAACACTGCAAATTCTTGAGGAAACTTTATATCATATCCCAATGTTCGCGATCAAACCTCGCGTACGGCGGTTCAATAAACCTCCAGAATACCAGTTGACAAAAACAAGTTTACATTATCTTCTTTTGAAACATCACATCCAAGTATCGTTTTGGCTTTTAGAACTCTTTTTGTGCTTTCAACTAAAGCAAAGTTCACCCTTTTGTTTCAAAAAAGAGTTGCATATAAAACACAACGTTCGTTCGTATTTTGAAGTCACACGAGTTTTATTTAATTAAATATATACGAAGAACGTAACCCCCGGAAATAAAACCCTAGGGAGCCACCTTAAACCATTATATTCCAAAGCTTCTCTGCTACCATATTTATGAAAAAAACAGGTAATTTTTTACTGAAACTGTACGTCATTTTGTGTGTTTCTTAACAGTTTTCTCGAGTTCTAGTATTCATGTTGTATCTATCACTTTTCAATTTTTGTCAGCCTCAAATTAGTTCGGAAGCAACACTGGAATTTTAATGAATTTAATTTTTAATTAGATCAACCAAATTTAAAAAGATGTCGAGTTCACACATTGAGAAAAATGATGAAATGTTACATAATGTGGTACACAATATACAACTGAACAATTGCTGGAAATGGATCCATCCTTTGATCATGTTTATTTTATAAGCTTAGAAAAGATGGGGATAATTCAATTAATTTTATCCTGAAGTAGTACATACAGTGGCGTAACAAAGGCGTGTGGGGGCCCCTGTTGACTGTTGCCATTGCTTGACTGAGATATATTATATTTATAAAACGCTCTGGAAAATTTAATGTCCTTTCAAAAGGCAAAGTGTGCAACCACCATTAGAAATATCATATTTAATATTTTAGACCGGGATGAGTGTTCCCAGGGCAACCACTCATGTCATGTAAATGCGAGATGTGTGGAGACCGTTGTTTCATATCACTGTGTTTGTCACAATGGTTATCATGGTGATGGATACAATTGTACAGGTATGAAATGTCCTAACAGAACAAAAGGAACCCAAAATCCAGAATAAGCAATCTGCTAGATTTATAAGTTTACGAAAATCCTGGCAATTTTTTCCATTTCAGACATTGATGAATGTTCTCAAGCAATGTTCGATTGTGATTCGAACGCGAAGTGTATCAACACCAATGGTTCGTGCAACTGTACTTGTCACTCCGGTTATACAGGAAATGGTAAAGAATGCTCAGGTAAACATCCATGTACGTATGACTAAACAAATATTTTCAATTATATATTAATTGGTGCCGGTGTTCCTGTGGAGGTCATTGTTGCATTTCGATTGTTCTGTTGTGGCTGGTATTTTCGTCTTTCTTTGAGAGGTTTTCCAATTTAGATTCGCCAGTAAATCAGATGACTGAATATCGTAAGTTGCACCCAAGTAATTGCTCTTGCAGCACGTTATGGTATCTTTGCATCATATCTTTCAGCCCAATTCCGCAATTGTCCCATAACCGGTTGCAACAATCGAAATAATAATACAAGCTTGGACAATCGTAGTTTCTAATTATGCTAGTTGTGCCGGCGTCATTTAGTATATTTATGTACGTAGCCGGTCGCGGTGGGAAGCAATTTTTCAGTTGTTGTCCAGTGGGATACATTACATTTATCTAAAGTCAAGTGACCACAAATCAGCCAATCACGTTTGGAGTTCACGCAGGTAACAATTAAGAATTTTAGAGTTATAGAAACACGCGCGAAAATTTGGGAGAAACGAGAAATTTTTCTATTTCCTTTATTAAATAGCCTTTTAAAAACAATCAAGATAAATTTATTGATTTTAATTGCTTTCATTCAAATATCAATTTCATCTTAATATACGTTCGTGTGAAGAATAATTATAAAAGCATAGCGATTAGCGAAGTAAACAAGTATATCGCTGTCAAAACAACTACAGACAGCACTTAACAGTCTTAATACTTAACTTTACTAAGTATATAACTCACCAAACAACGTACATGCTTGCATGCAATGAAAGCACTGTTTTAAATGAACGTTTAAATATGATTAAAAACTATAGTAAACATGATTAAAAACATCGCGAGGATTTTTTTTTTAAAACACAAAGTAAAATGAAAACATCTTACCTTGGTAAACAGTCAAACAGATACAACGTGTGCATACTTTGTGTTTTAGGTCTTCGCTTTCTAAGTTAGCAATGAGTTGCCTTTTTTGTAACGGTTCTTCGGCGTTTCGAGACGTTTTCCAACTTTTTTCAAAATTAAATATTGTTTGTATTTTGTCTTTTAAACTCCCGCGCAATCCACGCAACCCGCGTGAACATCCTCCGTGTTTCTATCGAGTTATAGACACACGGCTTTTTTGAACTTTTAACCAATCAGCGCCGGTGTTTTTAAAAGGCTATTTTATAATAAGTAATATTATGATTTCGAGTGCAATTTGTAAATAACATGCACAACTGACCTGAGTTCGATGAACGAGTGCAATTTGAAGTTTTTCTCCTCTATTCTAAAAGCTCGCTCACAATCAAACTCAATGAGTGGAGGCTCAATGTGATATTTTGATGAGTGTCAATGCTGTTTTAGAACATCTAGATGGCGAGTAGACACAAAGTAAGACAGAAGACCTCCAGCTCTTGTATTGGAAAACAGCAATTACACTCGAGAAAAGCTCAGTTTGGACTTCCACTCATTGAGTGCGAGTGAGCTTTTAGAATACGGGCGTTTGAACAGCTTATGGGTTTGCGGGGGTTTTTTTTATATTGCACGAGAAACCATACTATTAGTTATTAATAATACACAGGAAAAATTATGCAGTCACGTGCGTAAGAAAATAACGAAATTTGAAAAATAAAAATTGTGTGTTTACTGTGGGAAACGTGGGCTTAATGTTTGGGTTCGGAAACATGGACATGTAGCCGTCAAACATTACATACATTCCTTCCATTGATATTATTTTTTTACTGTTATGTTGATTATGTTGCTTGTTGTGACAGTTGGTTTGAATACTAGAGAGTATGTCTTTAGTCTTGCACTGTTTTCTGTAGAGGGTATGCGTCCCTACAATTGCCTACAGGTATGAGATATCCTAACAGATAAAAACGGACGCAAAAAATAGAATAAACAATTTGCTAGATTAATTTATAAGTTTCCGAAAATGCTGCCAATCTTTTCCATTCCAGACATTGATGAATGTTCTGAACCGACCAGCAACGATTGTGATTTGAACGCGACGTGTATCAACACCAATGGTTCGTACAACTGTGCTTGTCACATCGGTTATACAGGAAATGGTAAAGAATGCTCAGGTAAAGATCCATGTACGTATGACTAAATAAATATTTCCAATTATATATTGGTGCTGGTGTTCCTGTGGAGGTCATTGTTGATTTCGATTTTTCTGTTGTGGCTGGTATTTTCGTCTTTCTTTGAGAGGTTTTCCAATTTAGATTCGCCATTAAATCAGATGACTGAATATCGTAAGTTACACCCAGTAATTACACCTGCAGCACGTTATGGTATCTTTGCATCATATATTTCAACCCAATTCCGCAATTGTCCCATAACGGGTTGCAACAATCGAAATAATAATACAAGCTTGGAAAATCGTAGTTTCTAATTATGCTAGTTGTGCCAGTGTCATTTAGTATATTCATGTACGTAGCCAGTCGGGGAGGGAAGCAGTTTTTCAGTTGTTGTCCGGTGGGATACATTACATTTATCTGAAGTCAAGTGACCACAAAACAGCCAATCACGTTTGGAGTTTACGCAGGTAACAATTAAGAATTTTAGAGTTATAGAAACACGCGTGAAGAATAATTATGAAAGCATAGCGATTAGCGAAGTAAACAAGTATATCGCTGTCAAAACAACTGCAGACGGCACTTAACAATCTTAATACTTAACTTTACTAAGTATATAATTCACCGAACAACGTACATGCTTGCATGCAAAGAAAGCACTGTTTTAAATAGTTAGTGAACGTTTAAATATGATTAAAAGCTATAGTAAAAAACATCGCGAGGAAATATTTTTTTAAAAAGACAAAGTAAAATTAAAATATCTTACATTGGTAAACAGTCAAACAGATACAACTTGTGCATACTTTGTGCTTTAGTTCTTCGCTTTCTAAGTTAGCAATGTGTTGCCTTTTTTGTAACGGTTCTTCGGCGTTTCGGGACGTTTTTCAACTTTTTTCAAAATTAAATATTTTTTGTATTTTATCTTTTAAACTCCCGCGCAATCCACGCAACCCGCGTGAAAATCCTCCATGTTTCTATCGAGTTATAGAAATACGGGTTTTTTGAGCTTTTAACCAATCAGCGTCCGTGTTTTTAAAAGGCTATTTTATTTTAAGTAATATTAGGATTTCGAGTGCAATTTGTAAATAACCTGCACAACTTAGCTGAGTTCGATGAACGAGTGCAATTTGAAGTTTTTCTTCTCTATTCTAAAAGCTCGCTCACAATCAAACTCAATGAGTGGAGGCTCAATCTGACCTTTTGATCATTGCTGTTTTTGAACAGCTATAGGGCGAGTAGACACAAAGTACGACACAAGACCTGGCGCGTTATCCACGCGCGCGTGGGAGAAAATAAATAATTAAATAAATAATTAAATAAAATAAATAATTAAATAAAATAAATAATTAAATAAAATAAATAATTAAATAAATAATTAAATAAAATAAATAATTAAATAAATAATTAAATAAAATAAATAATTAAATAAAATAAATAATTAAATAAAATAAATAATTAAATAAATAATTAAATAAAATAAATAATTAAATAAAATAAATTTTTGTCACGTCAGCAAAAATAACCTCTATGAAAATGCTTTTGCGGTGGACTCTAAATGCTTGTATGGGATATGATTATAATCTTATGGATGATGTGTGAGAACTAAAACATGTGATGTTGAGATGATCTGAGCGAATCGCCGAGTGAATCTTATAATTCCTGTTGAACAAATTTAACGAGTTGCTTGGAATGTTGTAATAAGTATGCTTTTACTGTGTATAGAAGGTGTGTGAGAACTAAAACATGTGATATTGAGGCGATCTGAGCGAATCGCCGAGTGAGCTTTGTAATCCTAAGTCAGTCTTCTATTCCAACTGTAAGAGGGGCGCCGCGCCCCTCTTGTGAGAAGTTGATTTTAGGAAATCTGAAGGGGTGCCTTCGAGGGACCCGCCTTTATCAAAACCTTAGGATTAGTATATGGAGGAGACAAATTTGATATTTGCGATAGTTTGCCTAGGGCTTATTTGGATGTATATAAATAAGACCCATGAGGATAGGAAAATGTTTGCGAGAAGTTTGCGAAAGAGATGGACGGCTCCTTATCTTCAAGAATTTGTTGAGGATGTTGATGGTGGGGTTTATGAGGGAGATGTTATGAGAGAACGTGATGATGGTCATTTTGTTAGGTTTACTTGAAATCTGCTTGAATCCACTTGAGGTTTACTTACAAGGTAACTCAGATCTACTTGAATTCTACTTACAAGGTAATTGTAATCTACTGGTGAGATATCTCAAATTTGTTGGTGAGATAACTCAAATTTGCTGGTGAGATATCTCAAATCTACTGGTGAGATATCTGCTGAGATAACTGTAATCTACTGGTGAGATATCTTAAATATGCTGCTGAGGTAACTCAGATCTGGTGGTGAGATATCTGGGATCTGCTGTTAAGGTAACTTAAGTTTACTGGTGAGGTGTCTTAAGTTTACTTGTAAGATAACTGAGATCTGCTGGTGAGATAACTGGGATCTACTAGTGAGGTAACTGAGATCTACTAGTGAGGTAACTGTAATCTACTGGAATTTACTGTCGAGATAACTTAAGTTTACTGGTGAGATGTCTTAGGTTTGCTTGCAAGATAACTGAGATCTACTGGTGAGATAACTTAAGTTTACTGGTGAGATGCCTTAGGTTTGCTTGTAAGATAACTGAGATCTACTAGTGAGATAACTTAAGTTTACGGCTTGAAAAGCTTTATTTGACTGGTAAGCCATATTCTGATGTTACTAGTTTATTAATACTTGACTTTCTGTAACATCTTATTAATGTAGTACAGTAAACCTCTGTCTATAAAAACTGACCTTATATACTTTCGTAAGCGATTCAGTTTTAATGGGCTTATACAAGTGGGGGGGGCTATATACGGGGGGAGGCTAATACATGGACGTTCTTTTGTGTTAGTAATAAATAAATCAGACATAAGCAAGTCAGTCATAAACAGGAAAACAGACATGTTTTAATAACGCGATTTGATTAACATACTAGGCTATAAAGACAATGACAATGTTTTTAAATATCGTTCTCTGCTATATTAAAAGACAATGTCAATGTTGAATAACGTAGTGGGCTACTGGGTTTATATTTGGGGGGCTTATATTCGGGGAGGGGTTTATATTCGGGGGGGCTTATATTTGGAATGATGAGAGCGTTAGTACATGTGGTGGGCTTATATTCCGGGGGCGGGGACTTATAGTCGAAGGTTTACAGTAGTGTTTGACTTTAATGGTTAATGCCAATATTTAGTTGATTTTTTTAGATCTGAGGCTACAGGCAATTGTTTGTATAGTTCTGTGTCTTTGGTACTGGTTGGTGACAACAGTATAGTGCAAATATTGAGAGTCTTGACATCGATTGAGCTTTTTTACTCGCAGCACCCCTGCTTTTTATCTGCTGTAGATGAGCATGATATCACAGTTAATATCACAGTTAATAAACCACAAGGCACTACTACTACTACTATTACTCTTCAGTCACTGCTGAGGAAAAATCTAATTATATTAACAATTTTGATGTTGCTTTGTATAGAGAGAAATGTAAAGGTATGGGTACTCCTGAGATTTCTAGTTTAATTAGAAATGTCTTCAAGCCAGACAAGCATTATAATTCCCCTAGGACTAATCGTAGGAAGTTTTTTTTAAATGGCTAGAATTACATTCCTGGCTTTGCTATTCACCTTCCAAAAATGGTGCATATTGTTTGTCATGTGTGCTGTTTGGACATCTTTTTCCCGGTAAAGCTAGCAAACTTCAGAAATTATACTCTGAACCTCATCAGCATGCATTGGAACGATGCTGCATCTACTTTTAGACGTCATACAGGGCATGGTACGGGAGGAGAGATGCTTGTACTTTTCCTATACTAACTTCTTTACTTTCCCAAATGTCAGGAATTGTACAGCCTATAGAGGTTATTTTGGATGCCAACATCAAAAAAGAAATTGAGGACAACAGAAATAAATTTGTCTCCATTGTAGATACTGTTGTTTTTTGTGTTTGTTTGGGTTTTCCATTGCGTGGTCATCGTGATGATGATAAATACCACCCAGAGGTTGGCAACTACTCCACTGGGGGAGTTTGTAATTTTGTTGAGTCCCTTAATTTTAGACTTTGAGCAGACGACAAAGTCACAGAAGACCATTTAACAAATTGTGGTAAAAACAGTAGTTATATCTCTAAGACTAGCCAAAAGAAAATTATTGAGTGTTGTGGTCAGGTAATCAGTGAGGAAATCATTCAAGATATTAAGGCTGGGAAGTTGTTTTCAATCACTGCAGATGAGGCTGTAGATTCTTCTCAGAAAGAACAAATGTCTCTTGTTTTACGCTTTGTGGATATTAATATGAATATTCAAAAAGAATTTATTGCTTTTCTACAGTGCAAGTGGGGATTAAGTGGTGAACAACTGGCCAAATTAATCCTTGAAGCTCTCAATGATCTCACTTTATCCATTGATGATTGTCGAGAGCAAGTTTATGATGGGGCAGGTGCTGTTGCTGGGCACATTAATGGTTTGTCTGCTAATATTTTACGCCTTAATGAGAAAGCTCTTTATACTCATTGTTATAGCCATAGACTTAATTTAGCTGTTTGTGACTCTTTGAATGTACTGGAAGTCAATACTATGATGAAACATGTTAAAGATGTTTCAAATTTTATTAATATTTCCCAGACACGCAATATGCCATTTGAGAAAATAGTCCACAATTATCCTGATAGGAAAGCTCAGAAGAGACGACTGGTAGATGTTTGTCGAACCAGATGGATTGAGCGTATTGAGGGTTTGGAAACGTTTATAGAGCTTTTTATACCATTGTATAACACCCTAGAGGAGATGACTCTCAATGTGGCGGGTAAGTATATATCTCACCTTGCTACTGATGCTTCTCGTTTTTTTTATCTTAATTTTTGATCTTATTTGAGGTATAAAGGATTTCAAAAGTGTCAGAATTTCCGATACTTTGGACTGCCAGTCTCTGCAGTTTTAATGATATTTGAGGTATAGAGGATTTCAAAGGTATCAGAATTTCAGATACTTTGGATTACCTGTCTCAGCAGTTTTAATGATATTTGAGGTGTAGACGATTTCAAAGGTATCAGATTTCTGATACTTTGGACTGCCAGTCTCTGAAGTTTTAATGATATTTGAGGTGTAGAGGATTTAAAAGGTATCAGCCTTCTGCTACTTTGGACTACAAGTCTCTGCAGTTTTAATGATTTTTGAGGTATAGAGGATTTCAAAAGTATCAGAATTTCTGATACTTTGGACTGCCAGTCTCTGCAGTTTTAATGATATTTGAGGTATAGAGGATTTCAAAGGTATCAGAATTTCTGATACTTTGGACTGCCAGTCTCTGCAGTTTTAATGATATTTGAGGTATAGAGGATTTCAAAAGTATCAGAATTTCTGACACTTTGGACTATCAGTCTCTGCAGTTTTAATGAATTTGAGGTATAGAGGGTTTAAAAAGTATCAGAATTTCTGATACTTTGGATTACCAGTCTCTGCAGTTTTAACTATATTTTCACATATAGAGGATTTGAAAAGTATCAGAATCTCTGATACTTTGGACTACCAGTCTCAGCAGTTTTAATGCACTGCACTGCACTGTACTGCACTGCACTGCACTGCACTGCACTGCACTGCACTGCACTGCACTGCACTCCACTCCACTCCACTCCACTCCACTCCACTCCACTCCACTCCACTCCACTGCACTGCACTGCACTGCACTGCACTGCACTGCACTGCACTGCACTGCACTGCACTGCACTGCACTGCACTGCACTGAACTGTACTGTACTGTACTGTACTGTACTGTACTGTACTGTACTGTACTGTACTGTACTGTACTGTACTGTACTGTACTGTACTGTACTGTACT